GTGTGTGTGTGTGTGTGTGGGTGTGTGGGTGTGGGTGTGGGTGTGTGTGCTGAAGAAGTGCTTTCATGACAGACGATGTGCAGCAAAGAAACAAAGTCTAAAAGGGCAAAAAAATAAAAAGCGAACCAAAGTCTGATATTGTGAACCATTCGTGGGTTTTGCAGGAACTGCTTCAGCTGCGGAATGGGGATAACCAAGATTTTGTCCTTCGCCAACTCCAGAAGCAGGCTCTGCAGGTGCAAACAAAATTTCTTTTTGAAACCATTGGATTTGCGATTAACAAGAAAAAATCCCTCTATTTCATCCATCCAGCAATGATTGCAACACCTTCAGCCACCTTAACCAACATGGCATGTGGTGTGGTGTGGTTCCCTCCTTCTTCACCATGGATGGATAGGGTGCATAGGGTGGATGGATGGACTGATAGGGTGAATAGGATAGGATAGGATAGGATAGGTTAGGGTAGGATAGGGTAGGGTAGGATATGGTAGGATAGGGTAGTGAAACGGTTTTCACCTGTCAGCAGTAGCGAGTGCAGATCCCAGGGCTCGATCCCTAGTCATCTCCTTACCTGTGTACAGTATTTGTGTCGACCCCGCGAGTTGAACCCGTGACCTGTATATTTGTAGCAGTTGGTAGGCTGTCGTAGGGTCCGTAGGTAGCAGGGGTTCAATCTGTAGACCTGTCGAGTAGAGGTCTTAGGGAGTTCTAGAAGTCGTAGCTGTAGAGCTTCGGAAGAGTCAAGGTCGTAGCTGCTACAGTCCTGAAAGGTCAAGGTCGTAGCTGCTACAGTAGCGAAAGGCCAAGTCCACGGCCTTCCGGAAGGTCCAAGCAGTGGCCTTTCGAAGTTGCCCATGTTTAGGTTGAGGCAAGTGGGCAAGTGGTGGAGTCTACCTGTGCTGAGTCAGCAGTCCCAGTCCCAGTCAGTCCTAGTCCAGTCAAGCAAGTACCGCATGGGACTGTGTGCACTACGGGCATGGGAAAGGGCCAGACCAACGAGCCACATAAGTATAAATCAAAGGGCAGCGCCCAGCCATTCATTCATTCCTGCGTGAGCCATGCGGAAGTGCTGCCACAGCGACTTGTGCGAGGTGGTCTGCAGTGAGCCGGAAGACGAAGTGGGCAAGAGAGGAGCTTAGCCATAGCGATAGGTTAGCAGCGGGCATAGCCGCCATAGCTGTAGATAGAGTTCAGTGTGTGAGTGTGCAGTGTATGCGTGTGGGATATCCAGGGTGATCCTGTGTGTGTTAAGCAGCGATGAGTGAGTGACGAACAGAGACTTGTACAGGTGCTGAGTCGCCATAGCCATCTGAAGCGAGTTGTAGCTGAACTGTGTTCTTGTTTGCCATATCTCTGAGTTTTGAGTGGGCGCTCGTCGTCAGTTTGCTGCGCAACCTGTCTACATACATGTGAAGTGTGAATGAGAGCGAGTCTGATTGCAGTAGGATTGGATGAGGTAGGATAGGACGGGATAGAATAGGACAGGATAGGATAGGGGGGGATAGGATAGGGTAGGGTAGGGTAGGATAGGAGGGAATAGGATAGGGTAGGGCAGGGTAGGGTAGCGTAGGGTAGGGTAGGGTAGGGTGGGGTAGCGTAGGGTAGGATAGGGTGGATAGAATAGGATGGAATAGGATTTCATGCAATGGACGAGATGCGAGATGTATAGGGTGGATGGATGTATACGATGGATAGGATAGGATAGGAT